AAAATAATTTAAACAAATTAAATTAAATGAAAGAAAAATTAGAAAAGAAAAAGAATGGGCCTGAGGTAAATAGCAAGAGGGGGTGCTGATGGCAAATCTGATCCCAACAAGCTTGGGCCTCCATTGACTTTGACAGATTATGTGTGTGCATTTGACTCCAGTGCATGATGGACCCTCATGGGGTAGCCTTGGATCTGAAGCCTTGGTGATTTGATGGTGGGATATTGATGATGCATGGTAGGCTGATGGTATACATGTGTACCTGATTATGCAAGAAAAAATAATAGAAAGCAAAGTTGGGGACCTGGGAATCGAACCCAGGCCCTTTGGCATTTTTACCCTGCGCGCTTACCAGCTGAGCCAGCTTTGTTAGTTGTATGGATAATAACAAGCAATTATTATATGATAAAAACAAAGCGTGATATTTCAAAATGCGCGAAATTTGAATGGGCGAGTCAGGGAGTGCCACGTTACTTTCTTCTTCCTCCCACCGTCGTGTTAGCCCTGAAACTTTAACCTACGGTCACCTGGGTGTAGGTACAACCCTGTGTTTCTCCAAAATCTCCTATAGGCATGATAAATGACAACCGATGGTACCAATCAACTCGTTGTAACCTCACGAGCATCATGGTACCATTATTCATGCCTAATTGTTCCTATACAAAAAAACCCTAAAAACGAAACAAGAACCCTAACTATGGCATCTTGATGTTCAGTCAGCAAAAACGAAATTAAATGTAACCATTAGCTTGTAAGTGACTCAAGGATTAAGAATATGCTAATAAATCATGTTAAATATGCCAGAATTATGATATTCAAATTCAATAAAGTATGGAAATCGTGTGACTCTTACAGTGTGTTTCAAGGTGTGGAGAAGCTTGCTAGTGATTGAAATAAGATCCTAGGACGTCCAGCAAACGATTAGGATCACTAGAATGCTTTGAATTGATCTGAAATGTGGAAATCAGTTTGCCACTTTTCTCCAATTTTTTGAAACTTGCTCTCTCTTTTACACGCCTCCAATCCCCTTGTTTTTGATCTGAACATGTTCCTTATGTACCCTAGAACGAATTAGGGTTGCAAACTTGTATCAAATCTTTTCCAATTAAGATCATTGATTCATGATTTGATCCTGTGTGCAAATCTTTCCAAATCAAGCAAAATGAAATCTTTTGTGTCCATATGAGCCTTGCACGATTTGATCTCACTTCCAGCTGTATAATAGACCTAAACATGCACAAAATCTCAAGATTTGATTAGCTTTTGATATTTTCATGATTTTATTTTGATTTTATTTGAGTAAATGAAATAAAAATCAAAATAAATGACAAAAATAAAAGAATGATAAGTGGAAAGGCTCATGGGTCGTGGGTCACATTACAAACTCAGTGCAAGCATAAAAAGTTGGGCCCATTTGACAAAAAATGCAATTTTGGCCATATTTGACTTTTGGCAATTTTGCAAAAAGGGTCAACTTTGCCAATGCATAACTCTCTCAATTTTGACCCTAGAGAGGTGTTCTTTGACTTTTTATAAATCTTAAGATGTCCTATAAGCAACCCTTTTGTTCTCATATCAATTGAGTCTTCCATGTTCCTGTATGAAGCTTTGACCCAAAAGGTGTTTTTGTTGACCTTTCAAAATGACCTATAATGTCCAAATTTGTATCTTCTTGTGAGTGCATAATTTGAACTTGGGAGATGAATATGAATTGTATGAAATTGAATCCTATTCAAAATTAGATTTGGATGGGTCATTTTTGATAAAGTATGATAAAGTTATGCTTGGTCAAAGTTGAGTTGATTTTTCCTACAAAACCATAATTTAGCAACTTTTGGGTTTTGATGAATTGTGAGCAATCCTTGAGGAATCATGATAAATCCTTGATCAAATGATGAATAATACTTCAAAATGAGGATGTTGACCAAAAATCTTGAGGTTTGACTGTATGTGGTCCACAGTTGACTTTTGCCCTAACACAGTCGATTTTCAGGCCTTTGAGCAATTGACTGAGCAAACTTCCTCTGCAAGGCTTGAAATTTGACATGGATGATCTTGAGAACATATTAGGACAATGATGAGCATTTGGGATCCTTTGGACTTAAACATCTTGATGCAAATTGAAACCCTAATTTGAGGTAGACTGCCTTAGGAGAGAGTTTGTCTGGTCAACTCTTGAGCTTCCTTAAGCAATTTGAAGACCTCACTTGAAATGTATTGAGAAATATGGGAGGGAAAATTTTGGGGTACAACACCAACCATCATAGAATAAGGCATACCATATTGGTGAGGGACAAATGATGACCCTGGATCCCTGAAAATAGTGATCGATTTAGGTCAAATGGCGATACCTCATGCCTAGGTTCTATCATTGTGACTATTGTCACTGAACCATGAACTACGATCAATCTTACGGGATATGAAATTGTCGCACTTTGAGTTGTGGTACTTACCGGTATGACATCCACATTTTGTATAGAAATATGCATATGTGCAATGTTTGTGTCAGATCGAGACATTTTAGACTTAGACAAAAGTTTACCACTTCTCAAATTCATACACACACTAACTATAAGAAACTTTGTGAAACTACACACCAAATCCGAAAATATTAGCAATGTCCCACCGGGTGTGCCAATTTGTTTACCTCTGGATTTGTTAAACAATGTTGGTCTCTTTAAAACAAGTTTACTGACGAGATTGACCAGAGAATCTCAGTATAGTACTTCAGTTCATGTGTGTAGTTAAAGTGTTTTCAAAAAGGTTTGTTCGACTGAGAGCCAAACGGCTTGATAAAAGACAAAGTAAATAAGACAAATTGCTTTTTAAATTGTAAAAGGTAATGACTAAACATTAAAGAAAGGTTGAAAATAGGTTGGTTCAAATATACATTGTCTTTGAATGACTCATTTTGCTCGTTCGCTTGGTTACTCTGAGTGACTAGCATACGGGAATGTGAAAGTTTGACCCTTTACAAAGTGAACTAAGTGCTTTATTTATAATACACATAAATAACTATTTTTTAAGTGGATTTAGTTTCCTTGCATGCCATATGTTCTTCATAACTTCCCTCCATGATTCCACGTTTATCACTCCTGATATCAAACCCACATTTCCCTTCCATAATGCTTCGCCTTTGCAGTTTAGGCGCTTATGGGCCTTTTAATCCTTTTGGGCTTCTTATCTCTCTTGGGCCCAATCCATTCACCATGAACACTTCTCTGATCGACTGCACTTAGGAAACCTTGGTCGACTACCTGTAAGATCATCCATGATCGACATGCTTATGTAGTCGACTCCTTATAATTTAATGCTCTTAAAAGAACCTTTTTAACTTTTGGTTTGAATTTCTCTCTTTATGAAAATCCTAGCTAACACGCCCATGTAATGTTGTCAACTTCCTCAGATTCCAGAAATACAAATCCATCAAAAAAATGTTTTATGCGTAAAAGTGACACTAGCAATTTCTAGAAGCTGAAGCCTATACTTGTTTGTCTTGTACGTTGAATCAATTATAAGAACGGTTGGAAATGTGTTGAACAACTTGATACTTTCTGGATGTGTCCAAAAAATGCCACGAACACTGACTTTATCCTCACAGACATTGTACCTTAAAACATAGTGGTTTTCGTCCAAAAGTTTCAAAAGTTGTTGCATTTCGGATCTCGGACCTCTATTCATCATGTTTCGTTGATAACGTTCATTGTGTACTTGTTTGATATTTGAAACACTTTGTGATCTTTTCTGTTTTAAATCGACAAGTATGTTTCTCGATGAAACTTTGATTATCGACATTTCAAAAATAATTTCCTTCTCCTCCAACTTAAAACGACATATAATTTGATGACTTTGTAGCTTGGTGTCAAACACATGATTATGTATACCATAAATAACATTAAACCGCCACATATCACCCACCTCACAATATTCACACAATTTAAACGAACACTCGTATTTTCTCGATTTAGTGTCTTCATGTTTTAACTTCCGAATTTTTGGAACATATTTTTCACTTCTCTCGCATGTCATCGTTACAAATGCTTGCCTTCTACTAATGTCATTGTCAGACCTTCCAATCACAATGCCAAACCCGAGTTTGCTAGCTTCCATTCGGACTCATTCAAGCATATGTTGATGAGCACTGGAAAATTTCATCATTTGTAAATTATTGTCGAACATCTATCTCAACATCAATCTTTTTAACGTCGTCATTCACCTCATTCGGTTTAGCATCGTCATTCACCTTTACAACAACTTTGAGAAACATGTCGGGTGCACCATATCTAAAACGAACTAAAATAGAAAAATTGTTTTTGTATCAGGACAGTTTTAGATATGTATATCCGAAATATAGTAGGTGAATTTCGAAAATGCATATCCGAAGTGACGTTGTTTATTTCATCTCAAAATCATCATCAATGCAAGAAAATGAGAGATGAAATGAAGAAAGTTTACCTTAAATTACAACTTTCTATAATCTCTTTGATATGATAAAACACTTGAAATTTAGTTTGGAGACGAAAAATTGGTTGAGAATGATTGAAGTTTTGTGATAGGTTTTGGTTACGAGGGAAAATGAAAAGAATGAAATAGTGATATGGGTGCTTATGAAACAAGTTGATATATCAACAATACTTTCGAATATGCATACCCGAAATATCAGTTAATATTTAAATACAATGTTCAAATAATAATAACGTGTAAATATGAGTATTTTCGGATATGTATTTTTGAAACACTTTAAAAATTAATTAATGGTGTTTTCGAAAATATATTTTTAAAACACTTAATTAATTTAGAATGTGTTGAAAAATCCATGTGTGAAGGACATTATAGTGTTTGAGGAGATTTAATTCAGCCATGGATGTGTTAAGAATGGAGTAGCCATGTTTGTCTTTATAAGTTTAGTTAATTGAAAGTGAAACCTAAATTGGTAAACGATTCCCGAAAATTAAAAGAAATTCAGTGTGAGTAACGAGAATCGGGTTTCTCTCAAAATCATGAATCCCGCTGAACCAAAGCACCACCATTTCCCCCTTAATCCAACACCCCAACCCTTCCTATCAAAATTCAAAAAATTCACATTCCAAACCCTACCCTTATTCATTCTATTCACATCAATCGCATTAGCTTTCACAAAATCAAATTACTTTAAACTCCATTACTTCAAATTCTCCCTCAAATCACAAACCCTCTTTTCACCCTCAAAACCACTTTCTACACCCTCCCATTGTGTCCTATGGATGGCCCCTTTTCTTTCAGGTGGTGGGTATAGCTCAGAAAGCTGGTCTTACATTTTATCCCTTCATAGAAACATAAAAATGCGTTCTTTTAAGCTAGCAATTGAGCACCATGGTGATCTTGAATCTTTGGATTTTTGGGAGGGTTTGCCACAGGATATGAAGAGTTTGGCTATTGAGTTGTATCATACGAAATGTAATATGAATGAAACTATTGTGATTTGTCATAGTGAGCCTGGTGCTTGGTACCCTCCATTGTTTCAAACGGTACCATGTCCGCCGTCGGTTTACCGTGATTTTAAGTCTGTGATTGGTAGGACTATGTTTGAGACTGATAGAGTGAATGACAAACATGCCGAGCGATGTAATAAAATGGATTATGTTTGGGTTCCTACAGAGTTTCATAAGACTACTTTTGTTGAAAGTGGGGTTCTTCCTTCCAAGGTGGTGAAGATTGTTCAACCTATCGATGTGAAGTTCTTTGATCCAGTCAAGTACAAGGCGTTGGATATTCGTTCTACGGCTGAACTGATTTTAGGTTCTGGAGTGAGTAAGGGTTTTGTGTTTTTAAGTATCTTCAAGTGGGAGTATAGGAAAGGGTGGGATGTGTTGTTGAAATCATATTTGAAGGAGTTTTCGGGAGATGATAGTGTTGCTTTATACTTGTTGACGAATCCTTATCATACTGATGGTGATTTTGGAAACAAAATATTGGACTTTGTTGAAAATTTTGATTTCGAAGAACCGGATAGTGATTGGGCTTCGGTCTATGTTATTGATACACACATTGCGCAAAGTGACTTGCCGAGGGTTTACAGGGCAGCGGATGCTTTTGTTCTTCCTTCAAGAGGGGAAGGATGGGGAAGACCTCTGGTGGAAGCCATGTCAATGTCGTTGCCAGTGATTGCTACGAATTGGTCGGGACCGACTGAATTTTTGACAGAGTATAATAGCTATCCACTGCCAGTAGGTAGAATGAGTGAAGTAATGGAAGGTCCATTCAAGGGACATCTTTGGGCTGAACCTTCTGAAGATAAACTCCGGTTTCTTATGAGGCATGTGGTGGATAACCCGACTGAGGCTAAAGTCATAGGTAGAAAGGCAAGGGAGGACATGATAAGACAGTACTCGCCTGAGATTGTGGCAGAAATTGTTGCAGACCACATACAAAACATATTTGGGAGGTAAGAACTAATGAGTTTCTGGTTCTGTTTTGTTCACGGCTATTTTGCTCCAATTCCAGACCTGTTTTACATTTCACTCATAAGGAGATTGAGCTTGTAAGTGGAACATACTGTAGATTTCTCTGGAATTCATTGAGCTACAACAATTTTATCACTGGAATGTGTTTTGTTCAATAATTAATTCTTTTTATTTATGAGAATTTTTATTGAAAAGGAACATGTGTTCTTGGATAAACATAATATTGTTTCTCATGAAATGTATCAGTCAGTTTGGAACAGTGTGGCTATTTAAAAGGAATTTTGATCAGATAAATGACATCATTCTTGTTTACTATTTTTGATCAACTTGAAATAAAAGTATAATTCTTTGATCCTTCCATAGTTGAGTGTGGTAATTTTCTGATTGACTGATTGACAGATTAGTTGTTCTGGTAGAGGGCATTAGGATGTGTTTTTGAATCATGTTTTCTGACCCATTACTCAGTAAAAGATTGCAGCCCTGAGGTTCTTGTGCTTGTTTGAACTTCCAAGAGTTTGGCGGAGCCATTGTTAATAGCTTCTGAATGTAATATTCACAATTAAATGTATGATTTCTTAGTAAGCAAGAATTGGACTGGTTTGCCGATGCATGCGTGCTCATGCAAAGCAGGGATCCAGTTTGACTGTAGCCATACAATGTTGTTGTAGTCACTGCAGAAATCTGATTTACAATGACTTAAAATCATAACCATTCGATCTTCAACGTACAGTCAAGATTACAGCTGCATGAAATTTTGACCTCAACAATCCATTTCCTACTAACTACAACCATGTTTTATTTTCGTGCCTGGTATGTAAGAAACTAAAGTGGATATGTCACTTTAAGGGTTAGTTTGAGGTTTCTATCTCTGATATTTTGTTGTTATAGCAAACATATCGTTCTTATAGACTGCGATAAAAAGTATTTGTTATGTGCAAGGAAACTTCATGGATGATTGTTGATGAATGATAATACATGAATCTTGTTGGTAAAATGAATATGAAAGGTAACAAGTTGATCAAGAATGAATACTGGGCTTATGAAGTGATTTGAAGGTTCCTAATGAAGTTCAATCTATGACATCCGAAGGCCTAGTGTTAATGAAATTATTTTGCAAAATCCTTAATATAAGAGCTTCTAAAGAAAAACAAAATTACTGAACTAAAGTATCTCTGCATAAAGTTCTATATTCTACAAAGCAATATCGGTGACACTATAACTTATGTAGTGACGTTTGAAAACCAGCAAAAGAAAAAGGATTTGAATGGTTGAACTTTGAAATGGTTTTAAAGAATCTATCGTGCTTGAGAACAAATGTATTTTTCTAAAATCACTCTCTTTCGGAATTAAATCCACTGCAGTCACTACTCTCTATCTCTCTCTTGACATGTTTTTTTAAATATTTTTGAGATAAATCCATCTAAAGGTCAAAAATGAATGAAAAACAAATCTATTGGTTGGTTGCTGTATTGACTGCAATGACTGTGGCAAATTTCAACTGCAGAGGATCATGGTCCCTCTCTTTCTAGCTGAATTGGCCCCAATGTTATTCTTAAACTTTCTATAAAACTGTCATCGTACTTAAAGAGAAAACAGATGGTGAATTAGCAGATCCTTCATGAACTGGTCGTGGATGCTGTCTTTCCATCACTCTGAAGAGAACTGTAACTTTGGTACCAACTTGGATCTTGAAATGTAGATTTGGGGCATCTGTCTAGTTCTTTACTAGCAGATATCTTACGTGTGCAGTGTTAGAATTTAATTTCTGTTTAGCTGTCGTTTATTATCAATTGATAAATAAAATAAACATAGTGTTTGATAAACCTCTATGTGGTATTGTTTGAGAATTTACAAAGACTGGTTTTGCAGAAAGCGCTTGCTTGGGAACCTTGGAGTTAAAGAAAGATATAACTAGCTAGAAAAGAGTGAGAATAAATAAGAAAGTACTTCAGTTTAAGAGTGAGAATAAATAAGAAAGTACTTCAGTTTAAGAGTGGTAACTCTCAAATAGAAACTGAACAAACATAAATTGCACATGAGAAAGTTCTTCAGCAATGGCGCAAAATGGTAATAACTAGGACCAAATCAATCAAGAATTCTCAGTTCCTTCAATTGAAAACACATCAAAGTTTTCCAGCACCCCTTAAATTAACTGATTCGAAGACATGTGTATACAAAAGAAAGTCTCCTGTAAAAAAATGATCAAAATATTGAGTCCCCCAAAGGGACTTAGGACTTGTATGTTAAGTCATGACAGATTTGCTCTCATACACTTTCTGATATGTAATAATCATCTATCATATTTCATCATTAAAACAAAAATTGACAGATCCATATAAATACAGTAAATACCCCCTCCCTCTCTGTGGCCAAGAGAAGAAAAGGAGAATATCTGTCTCAGACATCTCTCACTGGAGTTGTGGAGCAAATGCAGCAAGTACTTCCTTGTAGACAGGCTTCCTGAAATCCACTGTCTGCACAGAGAAGATAAGCCAAATCATATGTTTTTTGATCTATGCGACACCAAGTCTTAATTGGTTTCATGCAGATATTAAAAACGTTGTCATGAACCATTATCACATATACTCACGAGATCAATGACTTGTTCCGCTGATATCCATGACCATTCCCCAAACTCAGGTTTCTCAGTACCATCACCCAAAAGATTGATTTCTTGATCTTGCCCGGTGAACTTAAAAAGAAACCTGCATATATCAGATTGTAATGTATCCGTTATTTCATGCCTTTCCAATAACAATAATACCTTTCACATTACATAATTTGGTTGAGCATATTCAAATTATTACCATTTTTGTGTCTGCCCCTTCCAACTAGTTCCCCACTGAATATTTAATCTTTCCTTGACTTTTGGTGGGAAGTCATAAGTTAACCAGAAAGGTGCCTACAAAAAAAAGCCACCAAAAGAAAAATCTACATCTGGGTTTTACATATATGAAGCACAGACACCAAAAACACGACACACACCGACACATCAACACCGATAATAATCACAAGTGTCCCGCACCTACACTACTCCGCCTTTTTTCAGAGGTGTAGTGAATTAAAATTAAAAATTTGTACCTCTGCAATTACTTCTGCTGAAATAACACCAGTTTCTTCTCTGAGTTCCCTAATAGCAGCATTTCTCGGATCCTCGCCTTCATCAATACCACCCTACGTGATGCCACATTACAAGATTACAAACTTATATTCTTCATTCATTTCACCAAATAACACATTGCAATAACAATAATCCATAACTTCATCCATTTATTTCTACCTGGGGCATTTTCCATGAATTGGGATTATCCAGCCTTGAAGCCACAAAAACCTACATAGCAGAAACCGTAAAATTAATCATGTTAAGCTTTCTAGAGAGAGAGAGAGAGAGATAGATTGAACCTTTTTGTGGTTATTGATGAGACAGATTCCAGCGTTTCTGCGGTAACCTTCAAGAGGAGCTTCCATCGTTGATGACAAAGAAGATGAGTGTGCAGAAAGTGGCAGGCAAGGGAATTTGACGTGTTTGGGAGGGTATTTCGGGAAACAGGGAGAATAAGCGAATCGGCATAAAGCCATTACTACAGCAAAGCAAAGAAGACACTGTCCGGCCAAACGTGAAACTTCTGCTCTTTCAAAATCTACTTTTTGACTTTTGCTTTTAACCCTTGTAACTTTTCTAATATGCCCCCACTTTGTATGTGTTTTTTATAGTAATGATTTGGTCAAACTGAAAAAAGTGAAACTATATTGAAATTAAGGGTCTATTTGGTGAGTGAATGAGAGGAGTTAAAAGAGTTTAACTAAGAGGAGAAGGTTGCACTGTTAATCATCACAACTTTATGTATATACGTTGTGTTATCTTAATTCCATAATGTCGCATGGTTAAGCTAATCTGATATGCTTATACTTAGTTGATCTTAAAATGAAGATGATTTTCCTTAAGGTTAGGGTAATATCCTAACCAAAGCACATCATGTTAGTGTATAATATTGAAGATGAAGATGAAGAACGGAGAGAAAAAGAAATAGAAGAGAAAAAGATGGCTACAACAAATATATTTGTTGAGAAAGAACTCTTTTATAAAAATCGTACTAACTTTCTTACAAAAAAAAACCTAATTCTAAACTATTTTATATACATAAAATAAACGGTCTCGTAGGCCCTAACAAAAATATGCTTAATAGATAAGCTAACAGTTAAGAATAACTTCTAGAACATATCAACCTACAACTTCTGATTAACAGCCTCAGAAGTTCTATTGCTTATGACTAACAACATGCTTCTGGATATGAATTACTTCTAAAATCATCCCTTAATTCATATTAAGAAATGTACAACACCAATTTCATCCCTCAAATGGATAAAGTGTTCAGTATTTACAACTTTAGTCAGAACATTTTCAAGTTGCCTTTAAATGCTATAGTGTGCAATTTATATCACTCCATTTCAGACTTGACTTCTCAAAAAATAGAACTTCGTATCATTGTGCTTGCTTCTCCCATGCAACACTGGGTTTTTGGCAAGGTTTATAGTTGATTTGTTATCAATTATCAACTTCATAGGTTTGCTCACCTTGATCTTCAAATCCTGCAACATATTCATCATTTAAATAGCTTGACACGCAGTCAAAGCACCTGCAATGTATTCAACTTCACAAGTTGACAATGCAACCACATGTTGCTTCTTGGAGCACAAGAAATGGGAATTCCCATATACTTGAAAAAATATTCAGAAGTACTTCTTTTGTCAACTCTGTCTCCAAACCAATCAGAGTCTGAATAGCATATAAGCTCTGCGTCATTTTTAACACCAGAAGGGAATAACACTTCATACTTCAAAGTCCCTTTAATGTTCCTCAGAATCCTGACAGCAGCTTGATAAGGTGACCACTTTGGCTTGTTCATAAATCTACTCACGATTCCAATCACATAACAAATATCGAGTCTGATGTTACACAGATACCTCAATGAGCCAACCAACTATTTAAAAGTTATAGCATCTACATCATCACCCTTAACATAATAATCCAGCTTGTGATTCGCCTCAGCAGGTGTGATTGCAGTCTTGCTATTTGTTAACTCAAATCTCTTAAGAAGCTCAAGTTCACACTAAACATGTATCAAAAAGACTATTGCATTCGCTTCTGAAGAAACATTGGTAGTTCTGAAGGATGATGATGTTTGCCACATAGAGGATTTCATGTGTACTTCTCAATAAGTTGCTGCTTCAGAAGTCACAAGTATTCTAGAAGAAAGAATTTATGTTAGAGCAGCAACTCCAAGATTAGAAAACAAGATTGCACTAGAAACAAGCTTTACGTCAAACATCAGAAGTCAAGATTTGTTCGTCAGAGGAGTTATTGCTTTTAACTCTGAAGACAAAGTCAAGGTTCTTAACACATCAAAAAAAAGATTTTACTTCCAGATTCAGAAGTCGAGATTTGTTCATCAGAAAAGCTGATGCTTCTAATTCTGAAGACAAAGTCAAGATTTTGAAGACTCAGATACTTCGTGGAATATGCGCACATTACTTCAATCAAAAGTATTTAATCAGAAGACATATCAAGGAAATTTAGATCTTTTAGACTCATTACTATTTTACATCATATAGTCTATAAGAAGACAAGATCAAAAGATGATATCTCCTCAAACCAATCTAATTTATCAGAAGTAATACTCATCAAAAGACATTATCATTAGAAACATCTGCTAGAAGAGTTAGTACAAAGGTACAATTACACATTTCACTCAAATGGATGTACTGTGTACTATTTTTATCCCACTGTAATATGATGAGAAAACTGACTAGGGTGTTTTACGTTTCATCACAATTGTTGCGGATAGCAAGAGTCGAGTTCTGTAATACGGTGGAAGAACTGATTAGGGTATTTTGTGTTTCATCGCAATTGTTGTGGATAGCAAGAGTCGCCACTAACTTTTCTTTTATCCAATAAAGGAAAGGGTGAAAAGAACAGGAAAGACTTTTGAGATTGTTTTCTTGAGTTTGGGGGGTAGATTATGAAAAGAGAAGGTGTTAGCATCCTTTTCATCCATAATTATCTACGGGCTCTTAGTTGCTTGCTAGATCATTGCTTTTTGTTTGAAAGTGTGCTTTGTGGTGGATTTTGAAAGTATTTTTGAAAAGCGCCTTCGTTTAGGAAAACTTTGTAATGATTCTCGTCTCTATAAGAATGTATACAAAGTGTTGGACTTTTGAAAATATTTCATGTTTTGAAAGTGTTTAGTGTGTTTGAAAAGATGTTTGTGTTTGAAGATGAGCAAGCAACTAAGAATGTTTCTACCTACTCATAATTCTTTGTTCTTTTCCTCCTCCTTTAGATGTTGCTATCTTACCATTGATTGGTAAGAAGCCTAATCTTTGGATGTAAAGGGGCGGACGTGGGTCATCGTATAGTCATGATAGCAATTTTGTGAGATATCTTAGAATTTCTCTTGAGGGACTAAGATCATTTGTAAAGAAATCATTCGAAGCGTCATTAAGGGACTATGATCTTGTATTTTTTGATTGTTTTTGCTAAGACGCCTCACATGCATAACATGACCATTTTTTCATAAGGCAACAAATAGAGTTAACACTAGAGGTGTAAAGTGTGTAAGTGTTTGTGTTTCATGCTTGATTTATCTTGGATTAGTGTTTTCTAAGATTGATTTTATCTTCCCATACAAATCCTACTTTACTAGCATTTATGTGAAAAGGATAAATTGCGGAAAGTAAATATCCTACGCTATTACAATCACTTGGGGATGGGGTGTATAAATTTACAAATGGGGTTTGCAAGAAATTAAAGTCCTAATTATCTATTACAACCATATTGAAATAATGTACAAGAATTGAAATGTAAAATAGATTTGTCTTGTTTTTGTTAAGAGAAGAAATAAATTTGCTTAAGGAAATGTTTTTAGTCTTTTTGTTTTAAAAGAAGTAAAACAAAGTATATTAATATAAAGTATTTTTGGTGTTTTCGATTAATGAAAATAAAAGTGATGATAAAAATAATAAGAGAATAAGAGTTAGAGTCAGCGTATTTTTGAAAGAATAGAAATAAGAAAGCGCAGAAGTTCTGACCCAGGCGCGCTGCAAGTCAGAAAGAAAATGTTAGTAGAAATGGGGAAGGCCAGAAGTTTTGGATCCAGACACGCTGAAGTTCTGGGGTTGCTGGAAACAAAAGAAAGCATAGAAGTTCTGATTGTTGAGAGAGCCTAGAATTTCTAGTGCAGCTGGAAACCTGGAAATTCTAGTGTTACTGGAAGGCTAGAAGTTCTGTTAATGGGTAAGTGAGGTAACAATGTTGTTAGATGAGAATATCTAGAAGTTATGGTCCAGGAGTACTGTTTTGACAAACAAATGGAGGGTTTATCTAGAAGTTCTGGTCCAGGATTATTGTTTGACAAATAATAGGGTGAAAATGTTAAGAAATAAACATAAAAGATGCCTCTGGGGCTAGAACCCTGGACCCTTAACACTAATGCCTTACGCATGCTCTCTACCATTGGGGTGACTATACACCCGGTATTAGAAGAAAAAACATAAACATATATTACAAAGTAAGTTATGATGATGAATTTCATCTTCTTCTTCGCACAAACCAGAGTATCTGTAACTTAGTCATTTCTCAACAAAAAATGGAAAATATAAACATAGAAGTTATGGAAAATTTCATCATGGTTTCAAAAATACAAAGCATCAAAACTATAAACCATAAGCAAACATGAATTTTGCTAATCCTAATTCTGAACCCTAATTTTCTCAAGAAGTTATGATCTGAAATTCTCTCTACTTAGGCCACATAAATGGAATCTATAAATATGTACAGATTCAAAGCTATGATATCAACATTGTATCTTTGAAAATGTAAGCCTAACAATGCCTAAGTAATGAGATGAAAATCATAAAAACCCTACCTTGCAGTTGGAAATTGTTCTGTGAGTTAGAGCCTGGTTCAGATTGTTGTGATGTTCTGGTCAGCTTCCTCAAGTTCTCGTAAAGCTAAAGCAACCCTTAACTTGAGTTATGGATGGTTGGAAAGCTCTGGAGCAGTCAAGTGATAACACGAAAATGTATCGTTTTTAGGCCTAATTTACACGAGTTATTTGTATGTTTTTATCGAATAATATGCATCACGAAGGTATTTGTGCGTGTTTTCAGGTAAATTATATTTTCCAAGACATAAGATGGCAAATAAGCTAAAAGGAGCAAAACAAGCTAAGAAATGGCAAGAAGAAAGAAGAAAACAGACATTCTTCTAAAAGCTCACACCAGAAGAGCGTTACGAGCGCATCGCCTAGCGTTACGTCCGTAACACCTAGGCGCACACTGTTACAAACGTAACGTAACGCGTTACGAACGTAACAAAAAGGCCTAAGCTGTTACGAACGTGATGATTTGCATTACGAACGTAACACCATAAAAACTCAGTCTATGCAGTAAACCACGAAGCAGCCCACACGAAGTCCACTCGACCTCATTCTATCAGTTGAGAATTTAGCGCACGTACTGGAATAATGGAACATGACGGTTACAAGAGAGAGCCTATATATATGCTGAAGATTTCACTT